TCCAAGAACCTGGTTGAAAAAGAGAGTTACTCTCATTTTGCTCAGCGCACTCATCTCCAAGAAGAATTCTCCTGTGCTTGGAAACAGCCTTATGGCTTTTGCCACCACAGAAGGGTTTTCTGCACGGTCGGAACTGTAATCAGCAAATGAAAATCCCATTTTAAATTAGAGTCATCATTATATTTTAGGCCATTCCTGCGAGTAAGCATAGCGCAACCAAGTGACACTTGATGGTATGCGAGCCAAGTGCTAGAAGTCATGCCAACTTACTCTGCATCGCTGCTAACTTAACAATTAAAAGAAGAGTGCTATTGTTTAATATTTAAACAAAATGTTTAATTCTTAAGCAAGACAGTCTTTCGGGAGATAGCAGACCCCTGCAGGTGGCTTGAGCTCAAAATTTTTAATTAAAACTTCTCTCTTTAAATGCAAATCACAACACTTAGCAAGCAATGATTCTCAGCATGGGTACTTTTTTAAGCACTGCACAGAGCCTTTAGAAACCAGATGGTATAAAGGGCAGGAGAATATCCAGTAGGGGAAAATTCGGCAGTAGCCTAAGGGAATCGACTAAATGACCTAATGGCTCCTTTCCAGTTCTGAGTTCTATGATTCACAGCTCTGGCAGCTTTCTTTCAAATAAGCACAACCACCGCGGCAGGAGGCCACTTCCATGCTGTGTCTCCAAAAGGCAATTTGCATCTGCAGGGTGAGAGCTTTTCCTTCAGTTAACTACTGCGTTTGCTGAGGCATTAGCTCTTGCAATGACAGCTCACTTCAATCTGATTTGGGCCTGAATGGAGAAGCAATCTGTTCCCCCCCTTCCTGGTGCACCTCCCCATTCCCCGCAAAGGTGCAGGGAGCTACAGGGGCTCAAAAGTGACAGGCAGGCAGCAACCATTCAGTGCTGGGCTCTTTCTTTTCAGGCGCCAAACCACCAAAGCAGAGCTCTTTTGCAGCACCGCTGCTTACAACCAAGTATCAATAATTAATTCAATGTCTTGAAGCAGTAAACTC